TGGATGGCCTACTCTGGAGAAAGTCGTGAGCAGTTTTATAGAGAGGCCCACATGACACCGAGACCTGCCAACAACGATTTGCGTGAACCTTATGGGAAGTGGCCCCTCCAGCCCCAGTCAGACCTTCAGATGACAGCATCCCCAGCCAGCATCCTGACTGCAACCTCTTGAGAGACCCAGAACCACTCAGCTAAGTCACTCTCAGAAACTAATGCTCAGAAACTGAGTAAGAAAATAAATGTTGCCTTAAGTTACCATGTTTGCAGGTAATTTGTTCACAATAGATAATCAATATAGCACTGATAAAAAAAATTACCTGATAATATTTTCATATTTAGATTAGAAAGTTTTGGATAAATCTAACCAAATTTTGTTCATTCTCGGGTCATAGAAACTTGAAATGCTCTGCAATTATTCTTGCTCCTGTCCTTCCAATATATGCTCAAAAATTCCTTCTGTCCCTATTATCTAATTTTTACAGATTTTCTATGTCTTTGGTAGCTCTCACAGAATTAGAGACAGAAAGACCCGATAAACATTGGAGAGATGGAAGCAATATTACACAAAGGTAGCCCAGCTGGTATGCATATATACTATATTTCATTACATACATACGCAGTTGAGGTCAAGTACAAGTAATCAATCTCTAAGAATATACAGAAGATACAAAATAGTCTTTAACTTTAGGTTCACGTTAAATATTGCATCCTTGAAATTCACCCTGGCTGTCTGGATTTGAAAGTGGCTCCTGTAACGTATTCAATTCCATTGTGCTCAGCTTCTCCAGGGAGAAGGGCATGGGGGAGGGCCGAGTAGGAGCCCAGGAAGCCTGGGCAGGGGACTGTTGCTTTTCCTGATGGTGGAAGACCTCTCCTCTCTGCCCTATTCTCTCTTCCAACCCCTGGCCCTTCCTTCCCTTCTCTCTTTTTCCCACCTTCTTGCCTCTGACTCAGATATTCGGCCCATTAGTTCTATTCCTTGATGCTTTGTGTGCGAGTCTATGGTGTGTGTGTGTGTGTGTGTGTGTGTGTGTGTGTGTGTGTGTGTGCACGCGCGCGCCCAGGAAGGAGGCAGGCAAGGTAGTGGCAAGGGTGATATCTGCTGCCCAAATAAATAATTGCAATCTTCTGTGATGAGTGTATTGCCTGTCGACTGTCTAAAAGGCCACCAGAAAAACTTGCTGATTCAGCAAAGCCAAGTTTGTTAGATCTCCTGCGAGGAGACGTCACCCTGATTGCCTTAGTCATGTCTCAAAAAAGGAAATTAGAGAAAGGTGTTCCTATGGCTCCAGGGCATGGGCTGGGTGATTTTAAGGTGCGTCTTGCAAGGTGGAATCGATTGGGATTGGACAGAGTCCTGCCTTCATAGCTTTCTCTGGATGGGTGGGCACGGAGAAGTAAGGGGTTTGAGGCCACTCTTCCTGCACAAGCCGTGAGTTTTGTAAGTAAACTGTTCAGTTGGTTCACAGGCTTTTCTTCTGGGAACTTGTATTTCATGAAGCAAGCAGCGAGGTGGTTTTTGTTTGATCCTAATACTGTGTAATGCAGGCACAAGGAATTATTAGTTTCAGCTCTTGGGTGCGAGGAAAGTGGTAGCGTGAGGGAGGGAGGGACTCCTTCCTTCCGGGAGAGGGCTGGGCGCAAAGAGGGCGAGGTTGGGAAAGTCTTGGTGGAAGAGGCGCTCCCTGAGCTAAGGATCTAGGGATCCAAGCGTGAGTGTGGATTCCCCAGGGGTGCAAGCCCTGGAAAGAATCTAGAGTGTTTCGCAAACTTGAACGTTTGTACAAGTCAGCTGGGATCTTGCTGAAACGTGCATTCTGCTTCTGTGGCTCTGGGTTCCCAGGTGAGGCTGACGCTGTCCATCTGTGGACACACTTTGAGGAGTTAGGTCCTAGACCCACAGAAGGACGTACAGAACCCTGAGGGCATGAAATGCTGAGGTGCCTTTAGGGAACACCAGCGCTGGGGCATTGGCGTGGGTGTGGGGAGAGTGTGGTGAGGGCTGAGGTGGGAGAGAGCACCCCACAGGGGGCTTTGTATGCTGGGAAAGGAGTCGGGGGCTTTATAAGCCAGGCCTCAACCCCCCTGCACAGTAGCCGGGCCCGTGTTAGTGGTTCTGGGTGGGTCTTGTTCACTGGCGTGTTCATTGTTCACTAGTGTGTTCAAAAAGCTGCACAGATGTTTCTCACCTGCAACCAGGCTGGGAAACACTTGTGTAAGCAAAGGAGCACCCTGGGAAGGTCTTTTTTTTTTTTAAAGAGAGAGAGAGAGAGACAGAGCATGAGCAGGGGAGGAGCAGAGAGAGGGGGAGACACAGAATCTGAATCAGGCTCCAGGCTCGGAGCTGTCAGCGCAGAGCCCGACACAGGGCTCGAACCCACGAACTTTGAGATCATGACCTGAGCCTGAGTCAGAGGCTTAACCAACTGAGCCACCCAGGTGCCCCCGGGAAGGTCCTTAAAGCCGGTTTGCATCTAAAGTGGCTGATAGCTGTGTGGAGCTGCCGCCGGTGAAACAGCCCAGGAGACCTGAGTTCAACCACAGGGGGACTTTGGGGATCCCCAAGGACTGTTGAGTCCACGTGGACTGAGAGGCTGTGCCTGGGGAAGCGAGATTGCCTGGTTTGGTAAGGTGAGGGGCCAGTTCTGGAAATTTGCCACTGTGGGCTTGACATGTCTCCCAGGAAGTTGGTCTACAGCCCAGTCCCAGTCTCCAGGCTTGTAGGAACACACAGGACGCAGAGGAACTATGGTGAGCACGGCGTGGGGGCGGGGGTGAGGGGAGCATGATGAAAACCGATGGAGACAGTTTCCAGGTTTACCTAAGCCTGGCCCTGACCTGGCCCTGACTATCTGGCAGTTAGTTCCTCGTTGGATGTGTTAGCAGAAAAATGCCTTTGTACAAATTAGAAGTTTGGAACTTGACCTGTTGGTGGTATAAGTGCCTGCTTCCTGTTTCTTTCAACCTTAAGTTTTTTTCCTAACCAATAGAGGACTATGTGTTTCATTTTACAGTTAGAAAGAGAAAGGGCAAATGTAATTTCATTACTTGACAGTTAGTCTTGTGGTCCTATCTGTCCCTCAAAACAATTTCTGTGTCACACATTTGGTCAACGTATTACATTTTGCCCTGCGTAAGCGGCCTTCTTTGATAGCTGTTTCCTTTCCTGACACTTTGAAACTCAGACTCTGTTTATGTCTTATTTGATTTGCCAGGACTGTTTTCGTTAACCTGATTTTACAGCTGAAGAAACTGTACAGATGAGAAAATGAATGCTCAGGAGGGGTCAAGCAACTTGATCAAGTCAGTTAGCCTTTTTTTTTTTTAATGTTTATTTTTGAGAAATATAGAGAGAGAGAGAGAGAGAGATGGAGTGTGAGTGGGGGAGGGGGAGAGAGAGAGAGAGAGAGAGAGAGAGAGAGAGAGAGAGAATCCGAAGCAGGCTCCAGGCTCCGAGCTGTCAGCACTGAGCCCGACACAGGCCTCGAACGCACGAACCGTGAGATCGTGACCTGAGCCGAAGTCAGATGCTTGACTGACTGAGCCACCCAGGCCAGTCAGTCTTAACAGCAGCAAGAGAGCTCCCAGGAGAGGGGAGTAACACCAAAGAAAGGAAGCCATTTGCTTCCATTATCTCTTCCTGGTCCAGGCTCACCATGCTGTCTATAGGGGTTCACTTGGTCCCTGAGGACTTTCTCTCCAGGCAGAAAGCCATGGGGAACCACACTCACCTTTGGAGAAAGAGGTCCCTTCAAAACCTAAAATCCAAGGTGGTCAGGTCTTGGTTTTTCAACTCCAAAAACTCCTGTCTAGGTAAAAGACCAAGTTTTTTTTTTTCTCATCCCCACGCTAGACTCCCCAGTCTGGGAGGAAAGGCATAGGTCATTAAAGGCTGCAGAGATCCCCCTGGGCCTCGCCCCCCCCCCCCACCCAGTCAACTCAAGGCTGACCACATTGTCCCTGTGCGGGAGACACTGGATACTGCGAATCCAAGAACCAACAGTAACTCATCACGTATTTATTGAGTGTTTGCCTTATGCCCAGCACTGTTCTTGGTGTGAGGGACGGAGCAGTGGAGAAAAATGACAGACAAAATGCCTGTTCTCTTGGAGCTCTACATCTTGGGGATAAGGGGAGCCGATAACTTATACAAGTAAAATGTCATATTTAAAGATGATAAGGGCCATGGAGAAAAATGAAACATGCAAGGGGAACAGAGTATGTGGGGGGGGGGGGTTTGTGGGGGAGGAATGTGGTGTGCAATTTCCGATAGGTTCATCAAAGGAGACCACTTTGATAACATGACATCTGAGCCAAGGCTGGGAGAAAGTGAGGGAACATTGTTCATACTTCAGGGAAGAGCACTTGCAGCAGAAGGAACAGTAAGTGCACAGTATCTGAGGTACCTGAATCCTGAAATGTTGGACGAACAGGACAGAAGGAGTAAATCTAGAGCTGAGGGAACAAGGGAAGCTAAGTAACGGAGAAGATGAGAAGGTAATGGGGCCAGTGCTGTAGGTCCTGGAGGGCCATTATCAATTTTATTTTTTAATTTTATTTATTTTGAGAGAGAGAGAGAGAGGGAGGGAGAAAACGAGTGGGGGAGGGGCAGAGAGAGAGGGAGAGAGAGAATCCCAAACAGGCTCCGAACTGTCAGTGTGGAGCCTGATGTGGGGCTCAAGCTCACAAACCTTGAGGTCATGACGAGCCAAAATCAAGAGCCAGACGCTTAACTGACTGAGCCACCCAGGTGCCCCCAATTTTCTTCTATGGCTCTCAGAACAAAGCCACCATGCTGTCCACCATTCCGAGACTACTTGACCACCATCTGGCTCTTCCCATGTGGACAGCCACATTTAATGGCCCAGGCCAGGCATATGCCATGGGTGGATGTGGAGGTTGGGGGGGGGGGCGCTGGGTGGGGCATAGGCTGCGAGAAAAGCCCTGGAGCCCTCCAACTGAGTGAGATCCACCCATTCAGTCCTGTTTTCTTCTCCTGAGGTTGGTCATCTTTGCCAAATTCCACATGTAACAGTTTTGAGTTGTCTGAACCCTGCACATCTCAACAGTTGGTAGTCTGAAGTATTCCAGCAGCTGAAGATCCACCATGAGTTCAGTCCTTTAATTCTTCTAAACATATTTAGCATTCCCCGAAGAATTCTGCCTTCTCTTTTCCTCCACAAATAAATATTATCTACTTTCAGGCAAGTACAATTCTCTTCTGTTGTCCCTAAACTGCTTCTAAGTCTGGGATAGTATGTGTTGGAAGATGTAACAGTTTGCTTTGACAGCCTTTTGTTTCCGCATAGGCAGATGTGTTGGGGTCCACTCTCCGGTTCACAGCGTGTTAGTTAGCAGGTGTTTGTTTGAAAGACCCGCTAGTGTCCACTGGGCGGCCTCAGCGGGTTCTGCTGACGGCACAGTTCGGCAGCCGGCTCCCTTCTCCAGAAGAGGGCGCCCGAGAGCCACTCTGACTGTGGAGGCCTCCGAAGCGCCGTCCTCCGCCGGCCCGGCGGGGTCTGTTTAACCAGGAGGAAACATAGGAGCCATTTTTTCCTTACCTTCAAGCAGCTCTCTAATCAGATTCTAGTTCGTTCTACCTTAGGTCTGCATATCTTCTTCTCATTTCTAAACCTGCTGTCCCAGCTCCTCGCTGTGTCTCCGCTCCCTGCCACAGATCCCAGGCCCCCCTCCCCACCCACACCTCCGTCGGTTTCCAGAGTAATCTTTCCGGAGCGCCTGCTCACAAACCTTGAAAGGCTCTGTAGCATTATAGGTTAAAGTTTAAAACCCTTTTTAAGGGCATTCAGGCCCTTAAAGGGTCTGCAACCTGCTTCTCCAGGCTTCTCTGCCCTTTACCTCCTCTCACAAAAGGCACCTTCCCATGTAGGGCGTATACCAAGGGGGTTTGCACTGACAACCCGAGCTGAGAGCCTTTGCCCCCCAGCTCTGTGACTGACAGGAGCCAGACCTCTTTAGGCCCTAGTTTCGACATCTGTAAAGGGGCTTGGTAATTCCTTCCCCTCAGGCTGTTAGGCACTGTAGGCTTCTGCCCTGAGAGGGGCAGACCACATCCTGGCCCTTGTGATATGTGTACTCTGGTAGACAAAGGAAATGCTAAAGAACTAAGTATGTATGATGAATTCAAAAGAAAGACTACACAAGGCTTTGAGACCATAACTTCTATCTGGTCTGGGTTAGGGCAGGGGCACCAAAGGCCCACTTGAGCAGTATACATTTCAGCTGAGGTGGAACCATGATTAAATCGGACCAAATGGAGAGTGGAAGAATATTCCAGAAAGAGAGAACTGTGCACATTGGTCCTGCTTATTTTTAATTTCACAGGACCAGGAACTGTATCTTATTCTCATAAGATCTCTAACAGTATCTAGAATTCCCCTTGCCCAGAGAAATTGTTCAGAAGTTGTTTAACACAAACTACAGAGAAATGAAGAGATTTTGAATCACTATCTTTATTTTTTGAATTGATTAATTAAGAATCTTAAGCAGACTCCAGGCCCAGAGTGGAGCCTGACACAAATCAAGAGTCAAACACTTAACTGGCTGAGTCACCCAGATGACCCTAAATCACCATTTTTTAAATGATGGAAAAACAAGAGCTTTCTGTTCCCACGTTTTTAGTACCTTTCTTGGGTGAACAAAGTAGTGAAAAAAGACCAGTTATCCATATATCACCCGGTTTTGAGGACTGAGGCCTCCCAAGATGGTGCGGGTGAGTTTCTTTGGGATGGCTGTGTATCACCCCCCCACCCCACAGGAGCCAGAGCTCTGCAGGTGTGGGAATTTGCAAGTCACTTCAGCTCCCCCCCCCCCCCGTAATAAAACAGGAGTGTGGGATTCGATTAGGACGCCCTAACAATCAGCTTCACACGGAGTCTTCTTATTTTGTCGAAATTTGGGGATCCAACTGCATTTCTTTTGATGAGAATCTTTCAGTTGCCTTTGATGCTGATGATCACCCGCAGCTCACCACCCTCCCTGCGCCCAGGATGGGCACATGGGTCTCACATACCGCGCGGGAACCAGGCCCACGGAAGAGGCCTGGGCATAGGAATCTTTGCCAAGGTTCCCAAACGTGGGGCTAGTGCTCTGGCTTGTGGTACACAGGGGGCCATCCCCTATCATGTTGGGGTAGTGTCGGGGGCCCAGCTCACTGCCCCATCTGGCTCCCTGGGAGTGGGGCCGCTCCAGCCTCCTCTCGATACAACATCCCCATTGATAAACCCTTGCGGGCTCTGCCCTCTCAAAGGCATGGATGAGCTTGACTTCACGGTCTTGTTCTCCTCCGGAGCGAGTGAACTCTGAACACAGAAGGGATTTCCCTCTGAACCTCAAAACGTCACGCCCTTCATTGTACACTTAACCAAATCCGCTGGCCCCTTTCTTTTCAAGGGAAAGAAAAAGGTAGGAACTGATGGCTAAATATTGGTCACAGGTGATTTCATTTTAGCCCTTGATCAGTTAACGCTGAGGACCAAGCACACATCATCGATTTCACCTGTACTCAGACACAGCCATCCCCTTATCCGAGGTTTGGCTTTCCGCAGCTTCATTACCACGGTCAACCTCGGGCCAGAGCGGGCGCTCCTGCTTCCTACCTTCGTGCTGTGTCACAAAACTTACGTCAGGAACCTCACCTCATCTCACCGTGTTGGCAGTTTTTCATCTCCTGTCGCCACGGGAAGGGTGAGTGCTGGATTTTGATACATTTTGGGGAGACCACTTTCACATAACTTTGATAAAAGTATATTGTTAGAGTTCTATTTACTATTAGCTATTGTTAATCTTTTACTGTGTTTAATGTATGAATTAAACTTTATCCTAGGTGCATATGTGTAGGAGAAAGCATAGTATACGGAGGGTTTGGTACTATCCGTGGTTTCAGGCATCCACTGGGCGTCTCAGAAAATATTCCTTGCAGATAAGGGGGGAACGTAGTTACAATCTGTCGAGTAAATGAACACCTATTCTTCACACCTGGGAGTCTTAGAGGATGATGAGAGCAGGGAGTTAGACCTGCAGGATCTAAAAGGAGAGCTTCTCTTGGTGGAAGACAAAGTGAAGTTGAGACATGGCCCTCCACAGCCAGCTGATCCCAGGAACTGAATTCCGTCAGCCAGAGCCAGACCCAGATCCTTCCTCCCCAGAAGGCAGGCCGGGGGTCAGTGGTGGGTGGGAGAGCTCCTTTATACCCGTTTGCAGCAGGCCCTTTAAAATGACAAACTCGAGGGGCGCCTGGGTGGCTCAGTGGGTTGGGCGTCTGACTTCGGCTCAGGTCATGTTCTTGTAGTTTGTGGTTTGTGGTTTGAGCTCCGCGTCGGGCTCTGTGCTGACAGCTTGGAGCCTGGGTCCTGCTTCTGATTCTGTGTCCCCCTCTCTCCCCTTCCCCCGCTCAGTCTCACTCTCTCTCTCTCAAAAAACATTAAAAAAAATTTTTTTTAATGGCAAATGCAGGGGGCTCCTGAGTGACTCAGTTGGTTAGGCATCCAGCTCTTGATTTCAGCTCAGGTCAAGAAATCGTGGTCGTGAGATTGAGCCCAACGTTGGGCTCTGTGCTGAGTGTGGATCCTGCTTGGCATTTTCTTGCTCCTTCTGCCCTCCCCCACTCGTTCTCCCTCCCTCCCTCCCTCTTTCTTTCTCTCTCTCCCTCTGCTCTTCCCCCACTCGTTCTCTCTCTCTCTTTCTCTCTCTGTCTCAAAAAATAATGCAAATGCAAGTTTGTTCCTAGAGGTTGGGGCTGGGGCTGACATGGAGAACAAAGATACCAGCCAGAAAAGTGACTGGAGTTGGAAAGGTCTTGGTCAACTCCCTGGGGCCCCACCCCCCCCCTTTTTTTAATTGGAAAAACATAAGGGAAAAATTGTGGGTGATTCAAGACGGTTTGGGGGCACCTGGGTGGCTCAGTTGGTTAAGCATCCAACTTCAGCTCAGGTCATGATCTCACGGTTCATGGGTTCAAGTTCCGTGTCCAGCTGTATGCTGACAGCTCAGGGACTGGCACCTGCTTTGGATTCTTTGTCTCCCTCTCTCTCTGCCCCTCCCCTGCTTGTGCTCTGTCTCTCTCAAAAATAAACATTAAGAAAATAAATAAAAAGAAGGTTTTTAATTGCTAAAGGTAAATATGGTATGTAATGCTGTAAAATACCCTATGTGGAAAGGCCTATAGGATGGTGAGCAAGAAAATCAACACAGAGCAGGGAGTTCAGGCAGTGCTTCTGAAAGATCTATGGGGACGCAGAGGACCACAAGGAATGCAAATAGTGTGATGTGGTGGGGGACATGCAGGTCTGGTTCCTGGCTTGGGCAAATCCCTCCTTGGAGTCGGTGGCAACTAAGGTCCCTGGTGGTTCAAACATCTGTCAATTTTCCACTGGCTGAGGCTGCTCAGGGGTGCAGCTTCATAGGGACTGTTCTCCGTGCCCTGTCCCTGGGGACTGAGTAGGGAGTGATGTGTACAGTAAAAGCCAGGTAGTAATCTTTATTTCCTTCAGATCTAACCATGGAAAAAACTAAAATCTGACAAATCTGTTAAGGAGATAGCTCTTCATCTGAATTTATGCTTAAATATTTTTTAAAAATGGAAGATGAGCACAAAGATGTACAAAGTGATGGTTTGTAAGGACCATAACTAGCAATTTTTTTGAGGGGCAGGGGGAAGAGCAAGAGAGGGAGACACAGAATCTGGAGCAGGCTCCAGGCTCTGAGCTGTCAGCACAGAACCCGGCGCAGGGCTCGAACTCATGAACCCATGAGATCATGACCTGAGCTAAAGTTGGACGCTTAACCGACTGAGCCACCCAGGCGCCCCATTAGCAATGTTTTAAAATGGAGATATTTCTGCCAAAGAGTGCAAGACACATGCCCGAGGTTCCACGGATTCTTGCCAAAAGTTTGGCACAGAGTGTATTTTGTACTCAGGACTTTATAGGTTTGTCTCTGAGCAGCCACCATGAGGGGCAAACTAATGCTCAGGGAAATGTAGTTTCTTCCATCCTGTCCCAGAGAATGGGAGGAATGGGAGGTGGTCAGGCTTGCACCCCCGCCCAGCCAGGGCACCATATGCTGCTAGAACGCACCCCCACCAAGCTGCGTTAGGGCCACAGCAGTGGCAGGCACAGAGCCCTGTTACTTCACACCTGACTCTGAGAAGGAGCTGACAGCCTGCAGGTGGTGTGGGGCAGTGACGG